AGTAAGAAATCTTTGTCACCATAACATTGTTATTTAAGGATTAACAATACTACTTGATTGAATTCGGGAAAAACATCTCATCTATTTGAGTAATGCTATACAGACTTAAAAACTTGATTTGAAAACTTAACTAGATGATATAGTTATTATATTTGTCATTGATTTAATTGTGAGTCTCAGTATTTAATAAGACAAACACTATCTATTTAATGGTAATAATTTATAAAGTCAAGTTTTTAAGACTTTTCCATTTATTATAATCATTAAATTAGTTATAAATTTTAACGTTAAGTTGTGCTCATTTTTAATTTAACAACTATAATTGATTAAATTTATAAATAAATTCTCCAAATTAGATTTAAATAATATTTTTCTTTTATGGATAGCACTAGAATACTGCTTTGGTACTATACATAAATTCATTTCAAGTCATAATAAATCTTCAATTCATTTTTTGTGATCATGATTTTAAAAAAAAATAATAAATTAAGATAAATTAAAAAATATAAAAGTTTCACGGGTGTAATATTTTAATCGATAAAAAATCAAAAATATGGTATCTAAAAATTATTCTTAGGGAAATTTGGAGGCCGGTCCCCTTATTTAGACTTGTTTGGATTTAAGTCTGTCAAGGAAACTTATTTGTTATGAAGTCTATTTTTTGTCAATTTTACTATACTATCCCCTCCCTTTAGAAGTGAAATAAAATTAAAAATTAAAAACTCTTAAATCTTAAGAGTTTGACTAATATTACAATATTTTCTCTCTCATATCTATAAATTAAGATTTTGACTAACATTAAAATTTTTTCTCTTATATATATATATATATATATATATATATATATATATATATATATATATATATATATATATATATACATACAGTAACATTCAAATATAAAAAAAAAGTTATAATTTGGATACAAGAAATAATACACTTTAATACAAAAAAATAATGTTTAAACATAAAATAAATTGGAACATTCAATATTAATATTTTTTAAAAATAACAACAGTAACATGTTCAACAAAAATAGTAACGTGCATAACAAAAACTGTAGCATACTTAACAATAATTATTTCTTTCAAATTTAAACGCAAAAAATAGTATCATTCAAATATAAAAAATAGTAATATTCACCAAAAAAAAATATTGAATATTAATAATTAGGAAAATAATAGTAATAATATGGTCAACAAAAATAGTAACATGCTCAAAAATTATAGTATATGAATAGTAACATACTCAACAAAAACAGTAACATGAACAGTAACATAATAAAAAAAATAGTAACATGAATTTGAATTTTACTATTCAAATTCATAGTAACTTTTTTTTTTTTTGTATTTGAATGTCTATTTTTTAATGTTAGTCAAACTCTTAAGCTATATATGAATATAGATAGATATGAGAGAGAAAAAATTAACTTTTTTTCAAAAAATGGTACTTTTGAGATAAAAAAAGAAAATAAAAGTAGACTTAAGTCATTACATATAATTTTAAATATGAACTTAACTCCTTATAAATTTCTTTGCAGGACTTATCTCCAAACAAGTACATATAGAATAACTCACTTCCAATTTTCGCTTATTCTTAAGTAGTAATTGGTTCCTTCTTAGTTGGCCCATCATTTCCCCATAAACAAGGCCCACCACCATAAACTCATGTTTAACTTGTTTTCTTGTCCAATTTGTTCAAATTGAATCCTTAGGGGTGATTTAATAGTTGAATTTAATTTTTGATAATGCAAAAATTTCATATTCAATTTTTTTAATATTCCCTGAGGGCTAATCCTATAACCCAGTTCAACTACAATGATCAGCCATTTAGTTCGAGAAAATAGTCGATCCAAATCTAGACACACACCGTAGAAAAAAAAAATTTTGTTGGGCAAAATTTTTAGTCAATTATAAAAACTACCAACTAAGTTTATGTTCGTCATAGGCAAGTTTAAAAAGAAGTTCCATGTGCCATTCAATAACTAAGTCAAGTTTGGTGCAAGTAATCGATTTGAATCTAAGAATTTGAATTACTCCCTTTATATTGAATATATGATTGATGATCCCATTTGAAAAACAATGATAAACAGCAACCTATACATAGATTAATCTTAGCAAAGGAATTTCCACTTACGTTTCCTGATAATTTTTTTATAAGTGAACTTAGACTACTGTTGGGGACCATAAGAAGGCACCTACCGCTGGTCGGCACCCAACTGGGGAAGCCTCTGCTGGTCGGCACCAACTTGAGCAGTCCTCTGCCAGTCAGCAGCCTCTTGGGTAGGTGCCTGTGACTGTCAGCATCTGGTTGGGAAGGTCTTTGCCGGTTTGACACTTGTCTAGAGGAGGTCTTCATTCGTCCACACTTAGTACCCGCAGCTACCATGGGTCAATCACCTCTTTGTTATTTAAGTTGTTACGAACTCTCTTTAGCCCATCTCCCATCTCTGCTAGACGAGTCTTATTCAGCTAAGGGTCAACTTAAGACCTAAAGTCCTAATTTAACAACAGGAGCTAAGGTAGGAGAACAAGACTCTTAATCTAACTCTACCTTGAATACCTAAGAATTGGTGATAAAATCGATTCTATTACAACCTAGAATTAAAGTTTTTTTAAGACACCACTTCTTACTTCTTACTATTATAAATAAAAGTCTCCGAGTACCAAATGAGGGATTCAATTATATCTTATTCACTTCATATTCTTTCTAAACTTGTGATCTGAATTAAGTATTAGAGTTCTTTTTGACTGCCTCCGGTCATCGATTCATCCAAATTCTCTCGTCTTCTTCAACTTCCTTTCCATCCATACAAGATGGAGACTGTGTGTGAAATTTTCCCCACACAAACTACTATGCCATTGGACACTAATGGTGACAAACCTTGAGGGTCCTTGGTAAATGGTAGACACCAACATCTAGGTTTTTGAAACATATGAGTTGATAATTTCAAAAGCAGTTCAATTGATAATAGTGATGAATTGTAAATATAGATATTCTAAATTCAAATTTTAACAATTCTTTGAATTAAGTCATGAGTGATTTATATCTCACAAATACTCTAATACTAATAAGAATAATCTGTGTTTAACCAACCTGAAAAGGCAAAAAAAATCTCAAAGAAAAAGGAAATACAAAGTCTCCATAAACAATCCAAAAGAGAAGATTTGATCCGGCCAAAGGTTTGGGATGCACGTGAAACCCCATTTTTAAAATGTGTCAACGGTCGGTTGTTAGGGACCATGTGATTGAATCCCAGAGATTGATAAAAGATTGTAGCACATGAGGTGGGGCCTAGAATCATGTCACTAAATTTTTTTTAGCTAGCAGACACAAAATCAAACACACAAAAAAGTCTCAACTTGCACGGCAAAGGGCAGCTGAATAGAGGCAAAGAGTATCATTTGAGACCCACTAAACCACAACATCTAGACAATTGTTGACCGGATCATGTCACTAATTGATTATCAAATACTACTATATTTATGACAAAAGTTAGACTTTGCGAACAACAAGATCAAGAGGCTTTTACTTCGATGGTAATTCTTATTTTGGGAAGATTTTGCTTTCTTAAAGCTAGCGGTTCAAAATTTTGGGTGAAAAAAATAGTTGGTTAATAAAATAGACCTTAGTTGTTTAGACAAACTGTATCCAAGTATCTGATATGAGTTTGAATTCTTATTAAAGCGTAAGTCCTGATTTAACTGTTATATGAGTTGAGAGACCGATTCATATATTTGATGTTTACCTTTAGTTCTACTTATACTCACAAGTCTGAGCAACATAAACATGCTCAACTCGTCGGAAGCAAATCAAAAATTTCTTCCGTTACCCAAAAAATAAAAAGAAGAACAAGTTATAAATATTCTTATCGATCATATAACATTTTTTAATTGATAACAATGTTATAATTAATCATTAAATATTACAACCGATCACGAATAATACCAATCAAGTGTAACTTAACCTTCTCGTTCACAATATTTTTTTGCTCAAAAGTCTTTTGATTTGTAAATTAAACACTAAAATGGACTTTAAACTCAGTAACATTTTGTACAATAACAAAAGAGAGATCATAGACGTTGTCCAACCGTCAACAGATACAAACAGTCTGGTTGAGCTTCAATCATGAAGGCAAACTTGAGGCCGGTAGGAAATTAGAACATGGAATCTTTTCATGTTCCTCTAAAATGTTGTGCACCTAATCACGGGTATAGTTCAGATGCCCAAGGGATTGGAGTGAGATTCAAGACAATACACATTTTTTTTTCTTACAAATCATCTATCATCAATTTAAGTGAAGTCCACTGTATATAAACGAGGAGTAAATATTGAGTGTAACCGTTATATCATGTTATTATTAATTACAGATATGATGAAACTATCCAATAAAAAAATAACAAAAAAAATTAAATTAAATTAAATTAGAGTCCAATTTTTATCATAGAGTTGATTATGTATTACATGCATGGGTGGTTATGTATTTTAGTGGAGCTAATTTGCTGACTTGTTTACTTATTAGTGGATAGTTACACTATGTGGCACTGTTAACGTGGTACAACAATGAGACCCTTGATAATACGAGAGAATATTCAATACAATGGTGATTTCGTGTCAATATTAATGGCATAATATCATCAACCAATAATAAAATCTGAAATGAAAAGAGTTTTTTAGGCCTTACTTCTCTTCTAACAGCCTACTGATTGGGCTGTTGACGGAAAATTGTAAATACCTATAAATTGGGAACTTTATTCCAACCAACAAGAATGAAATTTGCAGTACTACATTTGATTGCTGAAAGCTTATGTATATACTAGCGATACTCCGTGACTAAAATCACTGAACACTGAATTATTATACTGTGCATGCATTAAAATGTGTGTTAGAGTGTGTGTATGTATATGCAGCTATGTCTTGTGGAGTGTGTGTTGAGTTTTTGAAATTTGGAGAGAAAAAATGTGTGAAATTTGGGAAGAAAATATATATCTTTTATAAGTTCAAACTCTCATTTGTTCCAAGTCCTCCATGGGAATAAATTGAGCCAAAGGGAAAATATTAACTGAATGAATGTGGCATATCTTTACTGATGCCTTGACCTTCACTCCTGTGGCATTGTTAAACAGGAACCCTCTTGATGTTAAATCAGTAAGCTTAGTGGGATAAACTCTAGAAGTGATGACTGTCCTTCCTCTTTGAGCAAAGCTCTCAACAATGGAGTGATCAACCTGCATTTATTTTTTTTAGCTCTCAATTTCATCAACTCAACCCCAAGGGTTAACACAAGTGGTAGTCAACCAGTTGATAAATGCCTTAAGTTGGCATTGGTGAAGGGTTCAATACTCTACAAAGTGAAAATACTCTTTGGAGTCACCTCTCTTGGATTTAACTCTTACGCATGAAGAGGAGGCTTTGAGCGTGGACCCAAGTTGACTACCAGCCACGAGTCCAAATGAACTCGGTTGGTGGGGGCTCTTGGGTTATGAAAAAAGAAAATAAAACTAAAAACTCACTTGATCTTTATGCTAGTAAAATCAATTGAAAAATTCTCTAATTCTAAAATAATTAATATGATGCCCAATCATCAAATAAAAATTTTTAAAATATGTCCATTTTTTTAATGTAATACTACTACATTAACGAGTTTATGGTATCAACATTAGATTATTATTCATGATTGAGACTAACTCGATCCTTGTTATTCGTGTTAGCATATCATATTATTAATTTTCGAGTTCATTTCGAAAATTATTCAGTCTTAACCCATTAATTTTGAATCAAATTCGTACCGCGCAAACGTGTTGGGGAGAAAATTATCACCCCCTGTTGTTTAGCAAAATGAAGCCCAAACCTGTAAACCTGAGCCTACGTCAAGTGGCACAACTGATCCTGGTTCAAGCTCCACCTCGTGGAATTCATTGCATCCCCATCTCAAGCTCTCAATTTCATCAACTGGCCGTTGAAGTAAATTGTTCCTTGTCATCTTGTCAAACACCACGGTCCTTGGAATAGCCTGCGACCAGAAAATACTATTCAGTATAATTAAAATAAATATATGACGGAATTTCAATCCAAATTTTCTAATTAATGTTCTAATTATGAATTTTTTAAAACTTTTGTAAGACGGATAAAATTGCTGATTTGATGATATGAACGATCGAATTCGCCCAAAAAAAGGCCTAAGTTACAACATAACCGTGAGTTTTGTTCCTTGGAGTATAGTGGTTGTGTTTTCTAAATTCTAGAAAAATTGTTCCAAAAAACACATACAACAATCTTAACTTGTTTTCTAAATTTACGCTTTTTTTGTTCTCAATTTTTAAAAAAAAAAACAAAAAACAACTAAGTATACAATTTTTATCCTAGAAACTGTTTCTAAAAACAGACAAAAAAAACAGTTTTTGAGATACGAAGCAAGTAGGACTATATCCAACCTTAAAACTCTAGTATAGCAAGGCAGAGAAATTGATACCAGAACGGAAGCCCATCCTTTGATAATGTCTTTATCACTATCAGTTTCTGCAACCCAACCCCACAGGATCCTCCTCTTCTTGTTTTGGTCATAAAATGTCTTTGATGCATAGTATTTTCCATAATCCACCCGCAACCTGAAACCCACATCCAACTCCGGGTTGTCCGGTGTCCATTTGTCTTTTTCCGGGTCATAGGTCCCAAGTGCATAATAATCTTGCTTATTGTCATCCAAACTTGCTTTCAGGACATGCTTAATACCCGGCCCATTTAGGGATGTATCTAACCCGTTTTCACCTTCGGTTGAAACCGGGTAAAAATCTACACACTCCCACATGCCCGTATTTGGAACCGCATGCAATAACCCATCCACTTGCTCGTAGCTTATGAAATTAGTGGTCTTGTACACGAGTGAAATTCCTGTACTCTTGTTAACCTTAGATCCGACCGTGACCCGCCACTTACCATCCTGACCGAGCTACGCTGTGGTCGGGTCCCGAAAGTTGTCAAGACCAATGCCGGGTGGTGGAACTAAAACTGGGTTGCCTGGGTACTTGACCCAATCAACGAGGAGAGGATCAGATGGGTCGGCAGGATATGCGAGGTTTTGCACCTGCACATTATCGTTGGTGTTTCCAGTGTATAGGATGAAGATCTGACCATTGGGGAGGATTGTGGCGGATCCGGTCCAAACGCCATTGGAATCAAACCATCTATCAGGGACCATCGCTAAGGGAACGTGGGACCAGCTGATCAAGTCCCTAGATACTGCATGGCCCCATGTGATGTTGCCCCAAACCGCTGACTTTGGGTTATATTGGTAGAAAATGTGGTACCATCCCACGTGGAACAATGGACCTACATTAATACAAACAAGCAACATTGTGCTTAGTCCTTTTTCTTTTTCTTTAATCGTAAGGATGGTTTAGATGAGACGGTGATTAAAATGCTATCAAAACTTAGAGGTCTTAAGTCAAATCTCGTCAGATTTAATCTCTTACTAATAGTTTGTTAGGGTTTTTATGATCATCACTAATGGAAACTCAAATTTTTACCAAAACTTGAGTAAAAATAAGAGTAAATAATTTGATTTAGTATAAATCTCTTCAATGGAGAAACTCAAACTTAAAAGAAGACAAAACCAAATTTAAATGACGAGAAAATTAAATTTAAATGATGATAGAATATGATCATTAGATCTTTAAAAGAGAATAAAATCTAATCATTAGTGATTTGACAAAAATTTTAAATTTTTCTTAATTTGGTATGAATTTGGGTATAACATTAAAGAAAATTTTTAAGGGTTTTTTTTACCTAAATTTAAATTTGGATTACTTTTATAATTAATAATATTTTTTCAAAATTATATTTTGCTTCAAAGCAAAAAATATATATATGTAAAATCAACTTTACTAACTATTATTCAAAAATAATACAATTGCATTATGATATATAAATAATATACATCTAGCTATAAATAAACTTATGTTTAGAGAAAATAAGCAAATTTAAACAAAAAAATAATAAAATATTTTTTGCTTATAAAAAACTATGCTTTCTTATAAATAATATACATCTATACGCATTTTTTATTTTCTTTTAAAAGTACGCTTAGAAAAAAGTATCCAACTGAATTGTACTAATATAGAATGAAAAGAAAAGGGAGACAATGTAAAATAAATAACATTGCTCATCTAGACACAGTTTTGTAATGTACATTTACTTTCCATAAAAATATCTTTTTGAAAATGGGGAGTCTAGTTGACTCCATTGATAATACAGTAATGATACACTGATCAAATTTTGGGATCAAATTAAGAACCTAAATGACATGACAACTAAGAATCTGTTGGAGTTCTCTCTCTCTCTCTCTCTCTCTCTCTTAGTATTCATGTTTTGGTAGTTGGAAAATAAACTTGATCTAGAAGTCATTTTTAGTATGTATTAATGTTACATATAGAGGGGAAAAAAAGGTGTTAGTAGGTAATCAATATTTTTAAAGTTTGATAAGAGTATTAGTAGTGCGTTAATTCTCCAAGTGGTGGAAGAATAAAGTATTTATGTTACTAGTTGTTATAAGAGTTATGTGTTATTTGATAAAATTGAAAACTGAATACTAAAAATAGAATCCTGAATTTTAAGTGTTGAATACTAAATTTTTTATTGCACATACTGTTTGATATCCACTAAAATTTAAGTATTGAACTTAATCAAATTATTTGAAAAATATAAGAAGTTGAAGTCTGAAAAATATTATTATTTTAATTTTTTCCTCCTCTTTTACCATCTCACCGCAACTACCTTATTTCTACCACCATCATCACTACCATTTCTCAATCACCACCACTTGCCCTAACACATCATTGTTGTCAAACGCCACCCAACAATCACCTCTACCATCTTACACTACCACCCTCGATTTGGTGGTGAAGAGTGGTAATAGAGGATGATAGTGACAACAATTGTGGTGGTTGGTTGATAATGGTGGTGGGGGTGGTGAAGTTGTATGTAGACATGCTGATAGCAATAGTGGAGGTGGGTAGGAGGTGGTGATGAGGGCAAAAGTGGGAGATGGCGGTAGTGTAGTAGTGTTAGTGGTAGTATTACTAATGGGTAATGGTGGTAGGAGTGGTGACGATAAGGGTGGTGGGTGGTGGATTGTGGTAGATATGGTGGAATGATGGTGGTGGAAAAGGCGAAAATAGATGGTGGTGGTGGTTGGGTGACAACAGTGGTGATTATTGTTGTAGTAGCAATGGTGTGCTAATGGCAACGATGACAATGATGGTTCCAAGGGTAACAATGTGGGTGGTGGAAGAAATGATGGTAATGGTAGCAGGGTGGTTGTAGTAGCGCTGGTGGTTATGGCAGTGGTGATGATAGTGGGGTGGGGGCAAATATGGTGGAGTGATGGTCTTGATGGTGATGGGGGCATATATGGGTGGTGGTAACAAGGTGGCAATGACAGCAATTGTGGTAGTGTGGCAATGGTTGTGGTGATGGCAACAGCAATAGCGATGACAATGTTGGATGGGTGGAGAAAGTAGGGTGACAATGGTGGTAGTGGTAGTGGTGACAGCGATGGTGGTGACGACACAATGGTGGGTATTGAAAAGTTGCGAGTATAAAATAAACTGATGGTATATTGTCTATTATAAGGAATTTATAGAATATTTACTGACTAACATTTTTAGCATAAGTGATCAGTAAGTGGCTTGATATTTAAAATTATTTTAGTCTCTTTTTAAGAAGTGTTTAAAATATTAAGTAGTATAAGTTTTAGGTTATTAAATGAATTTAACTCATTAAATACTTAAAATTTTCAGTTTTAAACACTAAGTGGTATTATCAAACAACCTCTTAATTGAGATAGTGTTATGCTAATGTGAGGTTAGAAGTTATTTTTGGTACTTATGTAAATAGGTGATGCATTCTAGTGTTTTAAGTAAGAAAAGTGGAGTGGAGTATGTCAAAAGTCAAGTTGTAGTTGTAATATCCTCCTCTACTTTATTTCATTTTATTTATAGTCATTTTTTCTACAACAAAGTGATATCAAAACTATTTTTTAACCTTAGTAATATTGGAGAAATTCTTACAAATTGTATTATAGTTAGTTTTACGATTCCAGAAGTCTATATTGCTCATTTTCAATGATAATATAATCGCAGAAGTCTTTATAGATTATCATGGTTATGATCTTGATAGAAGATTCATCAGATATGTATTTTTGGTGTTAAAATATGATGTTTTTAATTTCAAGATGATGAAGATTGTTCTTATTTCAAAGTATCTCGTTTGTGGGATGTGATCGAAGAAAAACCAAAGAGCGACTTATCTAGGAGAATTCGAGAAAGAAAGAGGAAAACACACTAAGAGTTCTCAAGAAGATGATACATCTTGAGATTTTGAGATTTTGAAGCTTATAGGAGATTCAAGTTCTTGAAATAATAATTGAAAGATAATTGAGAGTATTGTAATCAAACATGGTGCTAAGTTTGTACCGAATTGAAGTTGAAGAGGCGGGAGAGAATAAAGACAATGATGAATTTGGACAAGTGATTCAAGAAATGGAGGAAAAAAGTATGTGAAGAAATTAAAACAAAAGCGAAAGAAATTGAAAAAACTTCAAGGACGAAGAAG